GTAGAAATATTATATATGGACTTACAGATTTGCCCATTATCGAAGCAGTTGCATGCAATTTCCTTTCGATATGCCTACTTTTGGCTAAACTGTTTGCACAATTGAGGACTATTGGCCTCAAGTGTTGCCTCACAACAGATATCGACTGCATCTCGTGTAAACTTTGATTCTCTTTTTTAACTGATAATAATTAAATTATTTATTAATCTTATCTTTTTGAACGACTTTTTGCCGCTATCTTTCTAATATAAACATTATCCGAAAAATCAGCCGGTATCTAAATTTGTAACGTAGTTTACCTTGGCGTCGACAGAGGGCATTTTTCTTCTTTTCGGATTCGGGGATAAGTAGCCCTGTTCCATAGATTAAGCGATATTAAAATATATTTTAAAAAATATATATTTATGTATTTGTTTACGACGAAATCAATGTCTTCGATATTGGAGTTTATAATTATTGATTTTTCTAATTTGGGCGATTTTCGCTTCTGATCTGCCAGGTGGCGTCTTTACGGGAAGGCTGAGTCCGAGTTCGAATTCGATTCGGTTTGTCGCTGTTTTCTATGGTGTTTCGAGTTAAAACTTTTTTCCCACGTTTTAATCATACTGATACGGTCTATTGAGGATGTAATGAGTAAAATTGAAGTTTATTATTAGTTAATATCGTGTAAAAGATCGCGACTAATTTATAATTTGAAAAATAAAATATTAAAATGACCCTCCAGTTGACATTTAATTTGATACAAACTGCTTAAAATACAAAATAATAATAATTGTGTTTGAATTTCGCACTGAACTTTCAATTTAATATTTAAAATTATTTATTTATTTAGTCTCGTCACCATACAATTAAATGTTTTGTTGCTATATTGATCTGTTTTAAATAACTGTTTAATCGATTTTAAAGAGGTCGGGCATATGCAAAATATTATTATAATTTCAATTGTAATATTTTTTCTAAGGGTTTAAGGCGTCAGCTTATCGCTATGGGGAACTCGAAATCGGATCTTAACGAGTCTCCCCGGAAATTTTTCATAGGCGGTTTGTCTCAGATGTAAATCATTTTTTAAACAACATACCCAACATCCGCGCAGACCCGATCAAGTACTGTATATCGTTATAGTAAATGAGCGGTTCTTCCACAAAAATAATAAATATCAAAATATGAAGTCCTAAATTGTATCTGTACATTGTATGAATTTTTTAGATGTAGATTGCTTGCTCATATGAAAATTTTATCTTGATTTAGATATAAATTCAGTTTGTATTCGTACCACGTTGAAAATGTTACTTAAGGATTTGGTACTGGCTCCGTTAATCAAAAATAGGAGCAAATGAACACGTTTTCTAAATGGAATAACAGGACTAACGAGAAGTGTATCTTAGACAATGCGATTATTGCTTTAAAATGAGTGTATCTGTCTTCGCTTGCAATAACAAAATTAACTTATGGTTATAGTTATAAATTCAAACACTTCTGGTGAGAAAGATTTGCCACAATTTCGCAAATGTTCAGCTGATTTTATATTAAATTAAGCATATAAAAACTTGAAGGAAATTAACGGAATTTTAGTACGACTCTCCTGGTGACATTATGCATCATTTTAATTAATATTGAAGTTGCCGACTAAATAGTTATTCGGCGGGTGTGATTTATCAGATACAATTTACAATGCACGCTTTGTTTTATACAGTAATACCTCGACTTACGCGAACCCGGAGTTACGCGATTTTCAAATCTCATCGATTCGTCTTTTGTTTGAGCGCCACGCAACCCTTGATTACTCACTCCCCCCACACTATTGTTCAGCTTACATGTTCGGATGTGTCGCGCGGAATCCACACATAGCTACAATTTATTTTGTGTTATTTATTTCTGTGTTTGTTATATCTACGGAGACTCGAGAGACTCTACTATGTCATCCAAACGAAGTAAAACTAATTCTTCCGCATCAAACAAGAAAAGAAAAACTTTATCTTTGGAATGTAAAGTTAACATTGGGTACGTTCGTAAAGTCGAACGAGTTAAGCGAGAATGAAGTCATCGTTATTTCTATTTCGTTAGACTTTTCGAACGATTCGTTACTAACGGGTTTAACTCGTTTGACTTTACGAACGTACCCATTATTAAAGACTTCGATACAAAAATGAAAATTTGTGAATTG